CAACATTCTACAGAAAACCTTCAAGACAAATAGTCTGGGCCCCAGCAGACAGTTTCTTGATGTCATTAACCAGATGCACATTAGTTAGGAGGCTGTTGAGCTTGTCATAAGCCTTAGTTCCTAAAAGAAGATAAAAGAAAATGCATGTTTAACCTTATAAAACTATTTGGTTCAGGAAGTCCCTACATCTACATTTATTAAGTCGGTAAAATCATTAAGACATCGCACCAACTAAATTATAAAAGTTGATTATAAAACATATAAATTAATAACTAAATAAATAAACTCTGATAATACATATATAAAAATATATGAATTATGAAAGAGTGTGATATAAAAATATAAAGTTTAAAAGTCTATTGTTTCTTAGCTAAACAGAGAAGTAACTTAGAGTTAAAAACAGTCGGGGGGTTTGAATCGGATATTTTCACAAGTAGGTTATTCAATAGTCTTATGGTCCTTAAGAAGAAAGAATGGAAATAAATGTTCCTTGTCACCTTGTCTTGGCTATATCTATTCTTGGTGTTACATTCAAGAAAGGGACAAAACAATTAATATCCTCTCATTTTGAATTAATGCAATTCTAGATTTTAATTATTGTGTGTGCTATGGGAATATGAATGGTAAATGCCTAGCTCCAAAACTATAAATTACTACCAAACAAGGCAATGACTACAATTCACCTATCTTGATCCATCTTCGATTTTCAATCTGATTGTCATGAGCACATTTGTTGAACAGGGAAGATGCATGATTATTGTGTTTATTGGCAACATGCTACATGAATGACCTCCACTTTGCTGCAACCAACTCTTCAAACCCCGTTTTTGTAGATGTGGCACACCAATAAAAATGGTTACATGCACCTTTAACCCAGTCAGCAACTTTTTCACAATCTTTCTCTTTCCCGAGCTTCGTCATCGCCTTTCCAATTGAGCGTTCCACATGCCAGATGTCAAAGAAGTGGGCACAACTTGTTTGGCATTCATTTATTCATTTGGCAATTCCTCCGTATAATGAACCCAAGTAGCTGGCACGTGGTGCACGTTGAGATTGTTGAGCATCAACCGCTCGATGTAGAACAATTAGACAGGCTTTACTTGATCAGCATTTATTAAGGTCTACTTGCCCAAATATTATAAACATGCAGTGAAAACTACTGAGTAGATTACAATACATAATTAAAAGAGAGCTAAAATTTACAAGATCTGCAAAGGCGTGGTAAAAGGAAAAACAAAAAGGTGAATATAAATGAGTAGAACTTATGTCCGGTACTGCATTCAAGGCTGAAAAGGAAAAGGTAACTCTAATGCTCCAACAGTACTCCAATAGTTACGTGTAACGACTGACTACTAATAAACTCCGAAGACTTGTTTCTCCTATGATAATGTAACTCCAACTAGCTAAAATCAAAAGTGGCGTTCCTTATCATGTGAGAAACAAAGGGCGTTCAATGGTGGAATGTAGCCAAACAGGAAGCATATGGCTAACAGGCGTTCTATCCAAGAAAAGAGAATTGACTGATAATTGAAAGGAAACCAAGGTAATTAAAAGCCCACCACGATGACCTAAACAAAACTGGCAAAGACTTATCTCCTAATGATCTAAATAAAGGACTATTTATGACAGTTTATGTAGCGTTCGTGACACTCCTGGCCCAAGGATTCTAATCCTTGCTACTCCTCTATTTGAAATCTTCATTTTAATGTGACTCCTGGTTTGGTTCGGTTCCATCTTTGGGCAGAAGTAGTATAAGTTCCTTAATAGGTCGTAGATACGCCTTCCTCTCTCTGTCTTTGATGATTTCTACCCTGACTTTCCTAACTCTGTCGTCCTCGCTTCATATGACATCTCCTACCCTTCCCAATGTCCAGTTGTTTCGATGCTGCTGCTCGTCTCGCACAAGCACGTCCCCCACACGTAACGTCTCGTGTCAGTCCATTTCTGTTGAGGCTGCAGGCTCTGCAAGTACTCTCGTCGCCATCTTGTCCAGAATTGCTCAGCTAGAAACTGGACCCTTCTCCAGCGACAACGTGCATAGATGTCAGCACGTAGGAACTGGCCTGGTGGGGGTCCAGCTGGGTGTGTTTTCAACGTGAGTAACATTGCAGGGGACAGAGGTTGTGGATCGTCAGTGTCAGATGGCAGTGCAGATATCAGTCTGGCGTTGACTATGGCTACCACTTTGGCCATCAGCATGACCAGTAATTTGTGCATAAGTTGGGTTTTGCCTAGTTTAGCGAACATAGCATCCAGTACATGTCATATGGTGCCAATTTGTCTCACCCATATGCCACCGAAATGTGATGCGTGGGGAGAGTTGAACTCACATTTGCATCTGTGCTCCATTGTGAATTTCCCCACCTTCTCATCGAACTCTGACACTCCTTCTTGTAGCTCTGTGTTTGCTCCAATGAAGTTAGTACCACGGTCAAATCTAAGGAGTTTGGCATGGCCGTGTAAAGCAAAGAATCTCCCTAGCACACAGATAAATGCGCCGGCATCCACGGCCTCCAGTACCTCTATGTGGATGGCTCTAATGCTGAGGCATGTAAACACTAGGCCCCACCTCTTGGCATTTGCAGCTACCCCTCTCGTTTTCTGTGTTTGCACCGTCCAGGGGCCAAAGACATCAAAGCCCATGTTAGTGAAGGGGGGCAGACCTCGGTTCTATCGGCGGGAGGTCTGCCATGCACTGAACCAGGGGTGGTCCTCTTAGGTTCTTGCAAGGAACGCAGGCTCCAATGATCTTCGTCACAGTATCATGACCTCCAACAAGCCAGAATCCTGCTTGTCGAATTGCTCCTCCAGTAATTTGCCTTCCGTGGTGGTGAACTCTGAGGTGGTGATGTTTCGCTACTAGCTGTCACACATGGTTATTCTCTGGTAACTCTATCGGGTGTTTCTCTCCGTACTCCATTTCTGCTCTTCTTAGTCTGCCTCCAATGTTGAGAATTCCATGGCCATCAAGGAACGGGAGGAGACGGTACAGTTGCGATCCCTTGAGAGCTTTCTTGGCACTACTTTCAGCTTCCCTTGGTTGCTCAGGCTCAATTCTTGCAGTTGTTGATAACTCACCAAATGCCGCTTTCTGCGTGGTACTAATTACGATACGCAGGGCTTGATTGCACTCTTCCAAGGTTGGTGGTCTATCTGGTTTACTCCTCAGTCTGGCTGATGTCGCTTCGTCATCTCTCCAGCACTTAAACTCTCTGAGTATGACAAGTAGATTCACGATCGCTCGTGTCAGAGATTTCAACAAGGAAAACTTCTCAAACCTTTCTGCTCCAAGGTCTGACCTCCTTTCTTTAGTTGTCTTCACTTTGGCACTGAACACTCCTTTGCAGACTTCAGGGTCACTTGCACTGAGTTTGAATGTTTCATCTGCTTGAGGGGTACTCTCTGGTTTTCTGAGGAATTCCAGGCCGGTGAGCCAGCTCGTTTCCATTAGCTTACTAGGGGTCATACCATGCGTCGCTAAGTCCATGGGGTTTCATTCACTCTCTACATATCTCCACTGTTCAGGGGTAGATAAACTTCTAACATCTGTACTTGGTTGGCTATGCAGACGTAGAAATGACGGCTCTCGTTTGTAATGTAGCCTAGCACTACTTTTGAGTTGGTGTAGTATGCTACGTCAGCAATCTCCATATCAATCTCTTTGAGGACCTTTTGTGCTGCTTGCAGGGCTAGTACTGCTGCACATAGCTCCAGTCGAGGGATGCTTGTCGGGTACGCTGGGGCAACTCTGGCTTGGCCATAGACAAGAGAAGTGGACTCTTCGTTCGCTTTGTTAAACTGGCGAAGATAAACAGCTGCTCCAATAGCGTCTTGACTGGCATCGGAGAAGATGTGCAGTTCTGCTTTGGCTACTGTGCCAAAATCCTTTGGGTGGTAACAGCAAAGAATAAACAGGTGCTGTAACTCCATGAGAGAATCTCTCCAGTGCATCCACCGGTTCATCATTGCTGCAGGGAGGGGGTCGTCCCAGCCCAGTGGGGTGTTGTTCCGGCTGGTTTGGTGGCCCATGGCTACAAGCCGCTGAAGTATCTCTCTCCCATCAAGCATGACTAGCACTGTGAAACCGAGTGGGTCATACACTGAATTCACAATGGACAGGACTCCTCCCCTGGTGAACGGCTTTTCTGGCAGGGTCACTTTAAAGGTGTCCATCTCCAGATTCCAGAAGACTCCGAGTGATCGGTGCGCTGGAAGATCGTCGTGACACAGATCTAGGTCATGCATGTCTTTAGCTTGATCTTCGGTGGAAGAGGCCTCCCTGACCTCCACTGAATTTGAGACGACTTTGTGAAGACGCAGGTTAGCGGTGGCTGATAAGGCCTGTACGTTTTTCACTTGTTTTCACTTGCTTGTTAAGTGTTTGTTAAGAAAGCTAAGCCATCATCAATGTAGAAGTTGCAGTGAATAAATCTCTTGGCCTCCTCGCCATACTCCTCGCCGTCAGATGCTGCTCTGCGAAGTCCGTAAGTGGTGACTGCGGGATTGGGCCCATTGCCGAGCAGGTGCTTGTTCATTCTATACTCCATTATGGGCTTTGATGGATCATTGCCTTCAAACCACAGGAAAGGAAGGAAGTCCCTATGTGCTGGGTCGACATAGAACAGTGAAACATCTGCTCCACGTCGCACATTACAGCGATTTTCTCCTTGCAGAAGCGCATTAGAACGCCAATGAGATTGTTCATCAGGTCAGGGCCAGGTAAAAGCACTTTGTTCAGTGAAACCCCTTGAAACTCGCTACTGGAATCAAACACCACTCGCACAGTGTGCTTTGTGTTATTATACGTTGTGAAATGTGGTAAATACCAGGAACGGCCAGGGCGAGGTGGGGCTTCAACACATGGGATCTGGGAGGTGTGGCCCTTCTCAATAATCTTTCCCATGAACTCCAGGTAATTTGCTCTCATTTTTGCTTTCCTGGCCAACGTCTTCAGGAACCCTTCTAAGCGTTGCATGGTTTGGAGCTTATCACAAAATGGTAGTGGCATCTACCAGTTGCCACTCGTTCTTGTGTATTCCCGCCTCTATGATCTCCAGAAACAAATCGTCTTCGCGAGAGAGACTAGGTTCATTGTTGCTTTGCCTAGTCTTGAAGATGCTATCAGTAACATGCTCCAGGATTGGGTCCTCAACCTTGAATTGGTTTGGACAGGGAACCAGCTCATAGTTCTTGTCTCCAGTCTCTCGGAGTCTCTCCTTGGCAGTGGACAAGCTGGTGAGGTGGGTCAGGACATGTGCAGGCCCACTTGGGAAATCGAGGCACATCTGACTGCTGATAGTCCACCCGAGGGCTAGTTGTTGCAGCTAGGGGGCTCCTCTTGGGCCATTTCTAAATTGTCTGACTTTCAACAGCTCGGGCGCATCCCGACCAATCAGCAGCTGAACCTTTGTAGACTCGTCTAGGGAAGGTATCTCATGTGCTAGGTTGATTAGATGCGGCAAACTCTTTGCCATGTCTGGAGTGGGAATGTCACACTCGGTGAGAGTTGGCAATGGGAACTCTGGTCCGCTGAGGGAGCACACTGTAATTCCTGGCGCCTGCTGACCATGCTCCTCCTCTTTCTCGCTGCTGCATGTGGACAGGAAGTATTTCTCCGAGGGTCCGCTTGCTTCAAGGTTGTCGGCTAACTCGCCGGTGACGAGGAAACTGTTGCTCTGCTCATTGATTATTTTTTCTTTTTTTCTTTTTTTTCTGCTCATCGATTATGGTGTAAACCCACTAAGAGAGGTGAGGGCTACTCTTGCTCTATACTTCTACTAAGAGGGTTTTACTGCAGGACACACCTCCCGCCGGTCCATGGAGCGTAGTGCATTTCGGGTTGACTCCATTGTTCTCTGATTTAGGCTCTGATTTGGGGGGCAGTTGCCTCCTTATGCAGTAAGGCATTATGGTGCCTGTCTCCACAAATAGTACATGTTAGGGGGACATTACAACAGCTCTCAATATGGGTGGGGCTGAAACATCAAAAGCACAAGCGCATGTCCTTTATCCACTGTGTGCCTTCCTCTAGAGTTTTAGCTGCAAATGCCCTACACCCTGATTGGTCATGTCCAGTCCTGTGGTGGAACTGGCAGTGCTTGTTTCTTCCACAACGACCTTCCCACTTCTCGTTTCCCGAGTCTCCCTTTTTCTCATTGGGGGGCTGCATGTTCGTTTTCAATGTTTTCCTCTCCCTGCGGGGTCTTGCCTTTTTATCAGCTAGGAGGTTCAGATTATTATTGATCTTCGCCTGTTCTTTTACTATTTTGGAAAACCTGTAGAAGGGGGGTTACATTTCTCCATTGCGGTCGGAATAATGAGCAATTTCTTTCTCCCATTTGGCGCAGATGAACTGCGGTAATTTCTCCATTACAGGTTGAATGGCGCTTAAATAATTGAGGCATGAGAGTCCCAGGAGGTAGGTCACTTGGCTCTCGATATCCACAAAGATCCGCGAACTGCTACAAGTTCTCATTATCATTCTCGTTGAATGTAGCTGAGTTGCACAAGCGCTCCAGGAGTGTGTTGCTAATGACCACAGTGCTCCCAAAGCGCCTCTCCAGTTCTTCCCACAAATCCCTTAGTAACGCAATCGGGTCACGCATTTCTCGCTTCCTGTAATTATCTACAAAGCGCCGTGGTGTTCTGCTAGTGAAGCTCCTCAAGTAATTGATTTCCTGTGTTGGGGAAACGTCATTGTCAATTAGCACGGCTTTGAACATGGATTTCCAAGGGTGAAAGAGAGTAGGGTTTCAGAGAACACATGTGGTTGGCATTTCAGCAGGTTTTGTCTAGCTTGCCCAGCGACAATTTGTTGATTTACGACTGTGAGAGAGTCGATTAACTGGCTTCCGGTGTTATCTCTCGAGGGGGTCAAAGGGGTAAGTGGTTGTTGATTGAGGGCGGCATCGTGTTGTTTTCCATGACGGTCATTTAATTTATGGTCTGAATTAGGATCTGGGCTTAGAACATGAGATTGACCTGTTTTTCCCAACGTTTTAGGTTTGTGGGGTGGAGATGAAAGGCTTTGTTCACTCCAATACAATTTGCGGTTTAGGTGCAGTTTCTGGGAGGTGCGGTGGCCTCATGGTTAGTG